CAAATAAAATTTGTCTTCATCTTGAAAGACATAAATTAATAATTGAGTCGCAACATGGTTTTATAAATGGCCGTTCATGTTTAACAAATTTGTTATCTTTTTATTCTAGCATTGTTGAGGAAGTTGATAGTGGTAAGGATTGCGATGTAGTGTCCCTTGACTTTAGCAAAGCTTTTGATACAGTGCCACATGAAAGACTGATTAAAAAGTTAGAGTCTCATGGTATTGGGGGTGCTATATTAAGCTGGATTAGGGCATGGCTATACCAAAGGAAACAGAGAGTTAGTATAAATGGAGTCAAGTCAGAGTGGGAAAATGTTGTAAGTGGGGTGCCTCAGGGCTCTGTCCTGGGACCTCTGTTGTTTATAATATATATAAATGATTTAGATTCAGGTTTGAGTAGCAACATTTGCAAATTTGCCGTTGATACGAAAATCGGTAGGGAAATTAATTCGGAGGAGGACTAACTATCACTTCAAGTTGATCTAGATAGGGTTTTGAAATGGTCGAAGGATTGGCAGATGCAGTTTAATGCTGATAAATGTAAAGTTCTGAGGTTAGGTAATGATGATAGAGTTACAAGATACGAGCTAGATGGTGTTGAGATTGCGAAGTCGGATTGCGAAAGGGATCTGGGAGTTATGATTAGTAAGAATTTAAAACAAAAGGATCAATGCATAAATGTTCGTAATAAGGCAAATCGGACACTTTGATTTATTAATCGCAGCGTTAGTAACAAGACACCTGGTGTGGTTCTCAAGCTATATCTTGCTCTAGTTAGGCCCCATTTAGATTATGCAGTTCAGTTTTGGTCGCCATATTATAGAATGGATATAAATTCACTTGAACGTGTCCAGCGTAGGATGACTAAGTTAATTCCCCAAATTAGAAATCTTTCATATGAAGAAAGATTAACAAAGCTTAAGTTGCATTCACTGGAAAGGCGAAGAGTTAGGGGTGACATGATAGAGGTTTACAAGTGGGTGAATGGACATAACAAAGGGGATATTAATAGGGTATTAAAAGCATGGGGACAGAACACGAAACAATAAGTATAAATTGGATAAGTTTAGATTTAGGAAAGACTTGGGTAAATACTGGTTCAGTAACAGGGTTGTTGATTTGTGGAACCAATTGCCGCGTAACATTGTGGAGGTGGGGTCCCTCGATTGTTTCAAGCATGGGTTGGACATGTATATGAGTGGGATTGGGTGGTTATATGAATAGGAGCTGCCTCGTATCGTAGCCGGAGCACCACGGGGCCAACAGGCCATCTGCAGTTGCCTTTGTTCTTATGAACCTAAGCTGGGTGAGATGGATGGACAACCAGCCCATCCTTCTGGGTTCTGGCAGGGTGTGTTGTCCCTGTGATATATCCTTCTGGGCTCAGGCAGTGTGAGTGTGGTCCCTGTGATATATCCTTCTGGGCTCTGGCAGGGTGAGCCTAGTCTTTCTCTCAGATCACTGTGATATTTGTTCTGGTGAGACTAGTATCAGGTGTCACCCTCACTCTCGGGTGTCACCTGAACTCGGGAAGGTGAGACTAATGTGTGTGAGGGCGGCCTCTGGGATATGGTAGAGTGAGTTTACTGTGTGTTAGGTCACCCTCTGGGCTTTGTCAGGATGACACTGGGCTCTCAGGTCACCCTCTGGGCTTTGTCAGGATGAGACTTGGGCTCTCAGATCACCCTCTGAGCTTTGTCAGGATGACACTGGGCTCTCAGGTCACCCTCTGGGCTTTGTCAGAATGACACTGGGCTCTCAGGTCACCCTCTGGGCTTTGTCAGGATGAGACTTGGGCTCTCAGATCACCCTCTGGGCTTTGTCAGGATGAGACTTGGGCTCTCAGGTCACCCTCTGAGCTTTGTCAGGATGACACTGGGCTCTCAGGTCACCCTCTGGGCTTTGTCAGGATGAGACTTGGGCTCTCAGGTCACCCTCTGGGCTTTGTCAGGATGAGACTTGGGCTCTCAGATCACCCTCTGGGCTTTGTCAGGATGAAACTTGGGCTCTCAGGTCACCCTCTGAGCTTTGTCAGGATGACACTGGGCTCTCAGCAGGTCACCCTCTGGGCTTTGTCAGGATGAGACACTCATGCTCTGGTCTCTGTCTGCATGAGTCTAGTCTGGCAGATCTCCATCTGGACTCTGACAGGTTAGATTAGTTTCTGTTAGCTCACCCTCTAGTCTTTGGCAAGGTGAAAACTAGTCTGTAAGTTCACCCGTTTGGCTGTGACAGAGGCAGTCCACTCTGTTGGCTCACCTTCTAGGCTTAGGCTGCATGAGCTTAGTCTCTGTCAGCTCACCTAATATAGTTTGGTAAGGCATGTTTTGTCTCTGCTCGCCCATCTGCAGTCTAACAAAATGAGATTAGTGTTTGTTCCTTCATTCTTTGGAGTCTGGAAGGGTGAGTTTCATTTTCCCCACATTTCCCCACATTTCTCCTAACCAACATTAACAAACCACCTCTAGAGACAAGGAAGATAACCTTTAAAGATAAAGGAAGATAAACTGCTATAAGCAATTTTATAGCTGCTGCTGCTAATATCAACTATGAATCCGAATTAGGGAACATAGGGGACATCAATCAAGCAGTGCAGTCATTTCTTCAAAAAACTCTCAGCCTTTATAACACCCACTGTTCAATGCTAACGAAACAAGTCACAACTAAAAGGCTAAACAATCCTTGCCTATCAAAGAGGATACTTAAATGCATTAATAAAAAACATGACCTTGAGAAGAAGTATAGGTTAGGAATCGTCTCCAAAGAATTCTCAAAGATTACTCATCATTGCTATCTAAAATAATTAGGAGAGCCAAAATTAAATACTACGAAGATAACTTTACCCACACAAAGTGCAATATTAAGAAAACATGGAACACAATTTCTCAAATATTGGGTTCAAAGAAGATTTTAAATAACAAACCAATACTCCTGTCAAATAACGATGGTCTGCTTTCAGCCTCTGACACTGCTCTTGAGTTCAATAGGTTCTTCTCTTCCATTGGGTCATCCCTTGCAAATGATATTCCATCTTCCAGTACTAATATTCAGGACTATCTTACAGGCAACTATCCACAGTCTCTACCTATTGTCTACTAATTCCACTGATGTTACTGACAATCCTTTCCCTTAAAACCAAGTCAAGTGCCCTTGAGGAGATACCAACTCTTATTTACAAAAAAGCCTCCAGATTTTTAGCTCCTGCTATTGCATTGCTCTTCAACAAGTCACTTGAACTCCAAACCTTTCCAGATATTCTAAAAAAAGCAAGAGTAACCCCTGTCCACAAATGTGGTGATCCCACTGATGTTAACAATTTCAGACCTATATCAATTCTGCCAAACTTGTCAAAAATATTTGAAAAATTAATCTATAAGCAGCTTTGCTCTTATCTAGCCAAACTCAATATACTTAGCTCTTGTCAATATGGCTTCAGACCCCTAAAAAGCACTAACGATGCACTTATTAGTATGATTAACTTGATACATACAGCTCTTGATAAAAATGAGTTCCCTGTTGGGTTATTTGTGGACCTGCGTAAGGCTTTTGACACTGTTAACCACCAAAACCTTCTTCTTAAATTACAACATTATGTAGCCAGAGGTCACTCCCTTCAGTACATTAAGTCTTACCTTACTGACAGGCTCCAGTATGTTTCTGTGAATAATTCAATTTCTCCCACCCTACCCATCAACATCGGTGTTCCTCAGGGCAGCATACTTGGCCCTCTCCTCTTTCTCATCTACATTAATGACCTTCCAAATGCCTCCCAACATCTCAAATCAATTCTAATTGCTGACGACACGACCTTCATTTACTCCAGTCCTGACCCCCTTGCTCTAAATGTCCCAGTGAATACTGAGCTAAATAAAGTCCATCACTGCCAACAAACTCACCCTCAATATTGATAAAACTTTCTATATTTTGTTTGGCAATAAATCCTCAAATCAAATAAATCTCAGGATAAATAATACCCAAATTTGTAACAAAGTAGATGGCAAATTCGTTGGCGTTCTCATTGATCGCAAACTGAATTTCTAGGGACACATTCTAAATATATCAAAAAAAGTTTCAAAAACAGTTGGCATTCATTCTAAGATCAGATATTATGTACCTCGCCCTGCCCTGGTGACACTCTATTATTCTCTCATCTATCCTTATCTCAACTATGGTATTTGTGCTTGGGGTTCAACTACCCAAAATCATTTACGTTCTCTAATTGCTCAACACAAAGCTGCTATTAGGACAATATCTAACTCTGGCCCCAGACATCACTCGGTACCCTAACTCAAATCTCTCAATATGTCAGATATTAAGTTACTGCACATTCTCTCATGTGTATTTTGTATATATAAAACGCTGAACTGTAATGTCAATCCTGACCTTAAAAGCTTCCTAGAAGGTTGTAACAGTACCCATGAGCACCACACCAGAAACAATTACCTATTTGATATTCCAAGAGTACGACTTAATCAAACTAGAAATGCTTTACAAATCAAGGGACCCAGAATGTGGAATGACCTTCCCAATTATGTTAAAGACTGTACCTCTCCCAACCAGTTTAAGATAAAAACAAAGTACTACCTTATTAACTCCATGTAACCTACCTCACCCCCAAAATGTAAACCCCTGTCTACTACTTGAAACAATGCTGTTTGTTGACCAAATTGTATTTTTGTTTTTTTCTGCAATGTTCCCCCCCCCCTTTTTTTCATTTTTTCTTATTTTTTCTGAACACAATTTATGCTTTAATCTCAATTAGTATTAAGTTTTAGTCTTAGTGTTTTTTCCTGCCCGAAACGCTTTGCGTAATAGTGGCTTTAGGCATTGTTTGTACTAGCTCTATCTATAAATCCATCAACTTTTTGTATCTCACCTTGTATGTATGTACTTTACCTGAATAAATATTTAGTTTTTGTTTTTTTGAGTCGGCTCACCGTCTGGGCTCTTCTATAATAAGTATGATCTGTCAATTCACTCTCTTGGCTCTCCTTCAGATCACTTTGCTTGTCCATTTCAGGTATACATATTCAAGAGAGGAGACGAGACCCGGATGGAGGTGGAATGGGTAGGCCTGGGCAGCCAGCTGGGCAGTGGGTATGGGCATGCGGTGGCCGCCGGGGACGTTACTGGGGATGGCTGGAGCGAGCTCTTGGTGGGGGCACCATTGTATGCCCCCAACATCGCCGCCCAAGGTGATTGCCACTCTAATCTCTCGCAAATTTGCTTATTTAGGTTTAAGGTTGGTCACCGGACCAAATGTTTTGTGCTTAGCTCATGTACCAGACTTTCTGATTCATCTTAATTATTTTTGCGTTATTGGTGTTACTGCTTAATGTTAAAGATACGTTGTTCCTTATCTGTAAGTTGTTTCATACTTAGCTTGATTTACGTTTATCAGTTCAATGCAGAATATTTAGCCAATACCTGTTATTACTATCAGCCATCCTTAATGGTTACCCAGTTTACCTCTTGATGGGTTACGCAGTGATCAGTGTAGTGGTTACACAGAGGACAGCCCCCAGTTCACACACCTTTCGTCCGGGAACTGGCTTGGTAAACAGAAGCACCTGATGACTCTGTTTACCAAGCAGTATATCAAGTATGCAGTATCCGGCAGTACAACGGTGTCCGGCAGAAGTGTTGAGGGTTGCCTCCTGGGCAAGGTCAGCAGCTGGCCAAGGGGGCCCTGGAGAATCCTAACAAGCTTCATATTCCCGACTATGTGAGACCATAAATTAAACACATAAATTATTATTTTTTTGACTTGGAAAAGCTTAGGACTGGGAGGCTTGAACAAGTTAGGTTAGGTGATGTTTGGTTAGTTTTAAGATAGGTCAAATGAGGTTAGATTATGGTAAGAATAAATAAATTCTGGTGATATTAGCTTTTGTTAAGCTTGGTTTAGTTAGATTTGGTTATAATTAGTTAAATTTGGATTGGTCAGGTATGATTAAGTTTGCATTAGTTATATTAAGTTTTGTTAGGTCATATTAGGTTAAGTTAAGCTTGGTTAGGTTAACTTAGGCTTGGTCGAGTAAAATGAAGTTAGTTTATGTTAGACTGGACTAAGTTTAGTTAGGCATGGATAGGTCAGGTCAGGTTTGGTTAGGTTTTGTTAGATCAGGTTTGGTTTGAGTAGATTATATTAGGTATTGTAAGCTTAAGGTTGTGTTTCTTGTACACATGTTGTAGGGAGTAAGGTTAGGGTGGTGTTTCCTGTATATATATTTGTTGCAGGGAGTAAAGCGGAGACATCGGAGGCGGGCATGGTGGTAGTGTACGGGCGTGGAGGCGTGGGCGACCTGCGGGAGGTGGGCGTGCTGCAGGGGGCCCCCCTGGCCCCAGGGGCAAGGTTTGGCTCCACCATCAGCGTCGTCGGGGACTTGGACCGTGACGGGTTTAATGGTCAGTCCACTACAGAGTTTCTGGTTTGTTAAACCAATTTTCTTTTGGTATGAAAAATTGTATAAGAAGTAGTAAAATTGTATAAGTAGACGAAAATACCTTGGTTTAGTGGGTAACTCGTGAGTGCGAGGGGCCAGAGACGAGAAGGGTACCTCAGTTCTCTGGCTAGGAAGGTTTGACGATTGATTTCATTTCAATTGACCTTATAACAATAATTTAGCCCCCATGTCCAGCCCAAAAATTCAAGTATTTTTCGCCAGAGGTCCAAATCAAGGATGTCCATGGGCGCCATCTTGAAAAGTTAGTCTGTGAACCAGATCACCCGGAAGATTAGGTTGTGAACCAGATCACCCGGAAGATTAGGTTGTGAACCAGATCACCCGGAAGATTAGGTTGTGAACCTGATCACCCGGAAGATTAGGTTGTGAACCTGATCACCCGGAAGATTAGGTTGTGAACCTGATCACCCGGAAGATTAGGTTGTGAACCTGATCACCCGGAAGATTAGGTTGTGAACCAGATCACCGGGAAGATTAGGTTGTGAACCTGATCACCCGGAAGATTAGGTTGTGAACCTGATCACCCGGAAGATTAGGTTGTGAACCTGATCACCCGGAAGATTAGGTTGTGAACCAGATCACCCGGAAGATTAGGTTGTGAACCTGATCACCCAGATCGCTGTGTTGGCATCACAGCCTGGCATGCTGTACAGTTGGCATCACAGCCTGGCATGCTGTACAGTTGGCATCACAGCCTGGCATGCTGTAAAGTTGGCATCACAGCCTGGCATGCTGTACAGTTGGCATCACAGCCTGGCATGCTGTACAGTTGGCATCACAGCCAGGCATGCTGTACAGTTGGCATCACAGCCTGGCATGCTGTAAAGTTGGCATCACAGCCAGGCATGCTGTACAGTTGGCATCACAGCCTGGCATGCTGTACAGTTGGCATCACAGCCAGGCATGCTGTACAGTTGGCATCACAGCCTGGCATGCTGTAAAGTTGGCATCACAGCCAGGCATGCTGTACAGTTGGCATCACAGCCTGGCATGCTGTAAAGTTGGCATCACAGCCACTCATGCTGTACAGTTGGCATCACAGCCTGGCATGCTGTACAGTTGACATCACAGCCTGGCATGCTGTACAGTTGGCATCACAGCCTGGCATGCTGTACAGTTGGCATCACAGCCACTCATGCTGTACAGTTGGCATCACAGCCTGGCATGCTGTACAGTTGGCATCACAGCCTGGCATGCTGTAAAGTTGGCATCACAGCCAGGCATGCTGTACAGTTGGCATCACAGCCACTCATGCTGTACACTTGGCATCACAGCCTGGCATGCTGTACACTTGGCATCACAGCCTGGCATGCTGTACAGTTGGCATCACAGCCTGGCATGCTGTACAGTTGGCATCACAGCCTGGCATGCTGCACAGTTGGCATCACAGCCACTCATGCTGTACACTTGGCATCACAGCCTGGCATGCTGTACAGTTGGCATCACAGCCTGGCATGCTGTAAAGTTGGCATCACAGCCAGGCATGCTGTACAGTTGGCATCACAGCCTGGCATGCTGTACAGTTGGCATCACAGCCTGGCATGCTGTACAGTTGGCATCACAGCCAGGCATGCTGTACAGTTGGCATCACAGCCTGGCATGTTGTACAGTTGGCATCACAGCCTGGCATGCTGTACAGTTGGCATCATAGCTGGCATGCTGTTCAGTTGGCATCACAGCCTGGCATGCTGTACAGTTGGCATCACAGCCTGTCATGCTGTTCAGTTGGCATCATAGCCTGGCATGCTGTTCAGTTAGCATCACAGCCTTGCATGCTGTACAGTTGGCATCACAGCCACTCATGCTGTACAGTTGGCATCACAGCCACTCATGCTGTACAGTTGGCATCACAGCCACTCATGCTGTACAGTTGGCATCACAGCCTGGCATGCTGTACAGTTGGCATCACAGCCACTCATGCTGTACAGTTGGCATCACAGCCACTCATGCTGTACAGTTGGCATCACAGCCTGGCATGCTGTACAGTTGGCATCACAGCCTGGCATGCTGTACAGTTGGCATCACAGCCTGGCATGCTGTACAGTTGACATCACAGCCTGGCATGCTGTACAATTGGCATCACAGCCTGGCATGCTGTACAGTTGGCATCACAGCCTGGCATGCTGTACAGTTGGCATCACAACCTGGCATGCTGTACAGTTGACATCACAGCCTGGCATGCTGTACAGTTGGCATCACAGCCTGGCATGCTGTACAGTTGGCATCACAGCCACTCATGCTGTACAGTTGGCATCACAGCCACTCATGCTGTACAGTTGGCATCACAGCCACTCATGCTGTACAGTTGGCATCACAGCCTGGCATGCTGCACAGTTGGCATCACAGCCTGGCATGCTGTACAGTTGGCATCACAGCCACTCATGCTGTACAGTTGGCATCACAGCCACTCATGCTGTACAGTTGGCATCACAGCCACTCATGCTGTACAGTTGGCATCACAGCCACTCATGCTGTACAGTTGGCATCACAGCCACTCATGCTGTACAGTTGGCATCACAGCCACTCATGCTGTACAGTTGGCATCACAGCCACTCATGCTGTACAGTTGGCATCACAGCCACTCATGCTGTACAGTTGGCATCACAGCCTGGCATGCTGCACAGTTGGCATCACGACCTGGCATGCTGTACAGTTGGTATCACAGCCTGGCATGCTGTACAGTTGGCATCACAGCTTGGCATGCTGCACAGTTGGCATCACAGCCACTCATGCTGTACAGTTGGCATCACAGCCACTCATGCTGTACAGTTGGCATCACAGCCTGGCATGCTGCACAGTTGGCATCACAGCCACTCATGCTGTACAGTTGGCATCACAGCCACTCATGCTGTACAGTTGGCATCACAGCCTGGCATGCTGTACAGTTGGCATCACAGCCACTCATGCTGTACAGTTGGCATCACAGCCTGGCATGCTGTACAGTTGGCATCACAGCCACTCATGCTGTACAGTTGGCATCACAGCCACTCATGCTGTACAGTTGGCATCACAGCCACTCATGCTGCACAGTTGGCATCACAACCTGGCATGCTGTACAAGTGGCATCACAGCCTGGCATGCTGCACAGTTGGCATCACAGCCTGGCATGCTGCATAGTTGGCATCACAGTCTGTCATGCTGTGCAGCTAGCATCACAATCTGTCATGCTGTACAGCTGGCATCACAGCCTGGCATGCTGTACAGTTGGCATCACAGCCTGGCATGCTGTACAGTTGGCATCACAGCCTGGCATGCTGCACAGTTGGCATCACAGCCTGGCATGCTGCACAGTTGGCATCACAGCCTGGCATGCTGCACAGTTGGCATCACAGCCTGGCATGCTGCACAGTTGGCATCACAGCCACTCATGCTGTACAGTTGGCATCACAGCCTGGCATGATGCACAGTTGGCATCACAGCCTGGCATGCTGCACAGTTGGCATCACAGCCTGGCATGCTGTACAGTTGGCATCACAGCCTGGCATGCTGTAAGTTGGCATCACAGCCACTCATGCTGTACAGTTGGCATCACAGCCACTCATGCTGCACAGTTGGCATCACAGCCACTCATGCTACACAGTTGGCATCACAGCCTGGCATGCTGTACAGTTGGCATCACAGCCTGGCATGCTGTACAGTTGGCATCACAGCCTGGCATGCTGCACAGTTGGCATCACAGCCACTTCTGCTGTACCGTTGGCATCACAGCCTGGCATGCTGCACAGTTGGCATCACAGGCTGGCATGCTGCACAGTTGGCATCACAGCCTGGCATGCTGTACAGCTGGCGTCACAACCTGGCATAAGACAGTTTCTCTGTTGGCAGACGCTGTGGCAGACGCTGTGGTCCCGCCTCTCAACTGTAAATCAACTTGTTTACATAGTCCTGCTCGTATTGAGCTCTGTCATGTCTACACTTGACACTATATGAAGTCAGCCTCCACCACATCACTGCCTAATGTATTCTATTGGTTAATTACTCCGACACAGAAAAGTTCTTTCTAATGTCCCTGTGAATAATTTGGGTACTAAGTTTCTAAGTACTAAGGGTACTAATGGGACACTTGGATACTATTAGTACAAAGTGTCTCCAAGTTCGTATACCACCTTGGCTAAATAGTTTATTTATCTCTCCTTTCCATTACTCTGAGAATTATGTAGGTAGTGATCATGTCTCCATACTCTTACCAATGTCGTGAGGTGTAGTTCAGACCAGAGTTGTCTGACTCGTGCGGAACTAAAAAGCGGAAAAGAAAACAATGTCAGCCTCAGATTGATCAAAGCTGAAGTTCTCCATGGCTGGAGGGTTGACAAGTTGCGTCAGAGGGAGCCAAGAGAGCAGATAATCTCTGCATTAACACTCTACAAGGTCTGCTGCTTATTAGTTTATGCAGCCGCCTCTTCATGCTTCCGCTACACAGCAGGTTGGGACGCTTGGGCAAAGGGAAAGGATCGCTCAATTTCATGTACGTGCTGAGGATATATGGGTAAGCCCATACTCGCAGGTCTAGTTAGTTATCTACGGGGCGTACGGTGCGTAGTACGGGGTCGTTCACACAGTTGATACGTTCAGCATTACCATGGTAGGCAGGATTATGGACGACACCTTATGGACGTAGACCGATCACTTGTATGGGGGCGCCATTTTGTGTCTGTCGATCTTCTGCTGATGGCGTTGCCGTACTCCAGAAGATGCCAATGTCCATGAGAGCGGTGTAGGGTTCTTACAGATATGCAAACTGCAGTCTCTCTAAATGAGCTTGCTCCTCTGTGTCTTCCTGCATGTGCCGTTGGAGCTGAATAGGGTCATTCACTCCTCGACAGCAGAGCGTTCCAGCAGCTCTGGGAGGTCCACAAGTTCACTTACCTCTTCCAGATGGGTCACTGCCTTTAGAGCACTCCACTCCATTTCAGCAGCTCTCGCTTTGAGTTTCTTCCTGTGCATCTTCGTGTATGGCATCATGGCGCTCAGAGGGACGGGTTATGTAGAGAAAGGTATTCTTACTCAACACAAACTCTCACAAGAAGCTGGTAAAATTTTCCTTCTCCTCAGCACGTGTTGCGTTGAAATCCGCAAGCACCTCATCAGGGCAGGCATGGCTGACTGTAGGATGCAGATGGTGGATGAGACTGGGTCGAACAGAAAGGATTCGAACTTGTGAATCCAGAGCCTGCGCGTACTGCCCATCTTCCCTGATCCGTTATGTGCTGCTTTTTGTGTTATTCCCCTTGGCCTTTACCGGTTGTCCAGGGCGTTATGATCCGGCTGGTTCCGTGACACTTTCTTCACATTTCTGGACTGCAATAACAGCTGCTTCTGATTCTGGACGATGACGAACCAGCCAGACTTAATTTTTCTGCCATTGTTCATTGTGTATTCGATTCACGTGTCCCAGACCATGTTGGAGTAAGGGTTAGCTGTGATAAACTGAGCTAAGTCGATAATCAGGAGCCCTATTTCTGTCACCATTATATATTTAGTCGAAATAATATGTTAATTCGTGATCCTAGGTCCTCCTATTCAACAGTTATGGTTTTGCTCTTCTGGACGGCTGCGTTATTTTATTTTCTGGGTAAATTTGTTTCGTTACACTAAATTAATGTCAGATTCGGAATCCTTGTGGTCGACTTACCAGTGTCTTTGTACATAATTTAAAGTGTTGTGCATCAAAAATTTTAATTAATCTTTCAAGATGGCCCCCGAGGCCGTCTTTGATTGGGACTCGCGAAAAATGCCTGGACTATTGGGAGGGACACAGCGACAAAATTTTGTATGAAAGATCTTACTAGCCAGAGAATGGTCACGGGATTTAGGCTCTGGACCTGACTATTACTATTACTGTGGGTTCAAACCTCTGAAAAGCACCAATAATACTGTAATAAACATGTGGATTGAGAGCTGTTGCCTCTCTTCTGAGCTCAACTCGCCACTTAAGATCCAAATGTTCCGATTTTCGCAAGAGCCTTTCCTCTTTAACAGTGGAGTCCTACTGCCTGGTACATTCTCCCACACTGGTGCAAAGACCTCATTCTCCCTTTCGCCCCAGCTTGGACAACCAACCAGCATGTTTAAAACAGTGAAATTCTACTGGGTTCCCAGCCATATTGGTATTTCCTTAAATGAGTGTGTTTACACTGCCGCTCAAGAGGCTATCTGCACTTGCTCCATCTCTCGCAAAGGTGTTCCTTATTCTGACTTCAATCCTGTTATTCATTCCTCAATTCTTGCCCCATTGGCAGGGTCGTTGGTCTTCTCTTACTGGTAACAAACTGCGTGTGTCCCCATGGCCTTTCTCCTATCACCGTAACCGGCGGTGGGAAACGGCTCTGGCTCGGTTACGTATTGGTCATACACGTTTAACTCACGGTCACTTAATGAAGTGCCGCCCTGCTCCTTATTGTTCTAACTGCCTTGTCCCTCTTAAGGTCGTGCAAATCCTTGTTGAATATCCTAACTTCCTGGATGTGCATGTGTCTTGCTTCCCGACCGTCCCCTGCGGTCACTTGTCCCTCGATAGTGACCTTGGTGAATCAGATACTGTTGATATCGTTCGCCTTATGCGCTTTTGGTCTAACATTGACTTCCTTAGAAATATTTACCGCCTTTTAAATATCTTGTACATTTGGTGGTTCTACATAGTTTTGGCTTTGTGCTACATAGTCTTGGCTTGGTGCTACATAATCTTGGTTTGGTGCTACATAGTCTTGGCTTGGTGTTACATAGTCTTAAGGCTTTGTGGTACATAGTCTTGGCTTAGCGCTTCATAATCTTGGCTCAGTGCTACATAGTCTTGACTTGGTGCTACATAGTCTTGGCTTGGTGCTACATAGTCTTGGCTTGGTGCTACATAGTCTTAGCTTGGTGCTACATAGCCTTAGCTTGGTGCTACATAGTCTTAGCTTGGTGCTACATAGTCTTAGCTTGGTGCTACATAGAAGGCATGGCACCGTCTTTTGATAATTACTTACTACGGCTATAAACTAAAACTAGATTGAATGAAATGTTTTATGCTGTTTTATTCTCTGTATTGTTCCATCAAAACACCTTCCTGACGCATCCAACACCCTCCTGACGCATCCAACACCCTCCTGACGCCTCCAACACCCTCCTGACGCATCCAACACCTTCCTGACGCATCCAACACCTTCCTGACGCATCCAACACCCTCCTGACGCATCCAATACCCTCCTGACACATCCAACACCTTCCTGACGCATCCAACACCCTCCTGACGCATCCAACACCCTCCTGACGCATCCAACACCTTCCTGACGCATCCAACACCTTCCTGACGCATCCAACACCCTCCTGACGCATCCAATACCCTCCTGACACATCCAACACCTTCCTGACGCATCCAACACCCTCCTGACGCATCCAACACCCTCCTGACGCATCCAACACCTTCCTGACGCATCCAACACCCTCCTGACGCCTCCAACACCCTCCTGACGCCTCCAACACCCTCCTGACGCCTCCAACACCCTCCTGACGCCTACAACACCCTCCTGACGCATCCAACACCCTCCTGACGTATCCAACACCCTCCTGACGCATCCAACACCCTCCTGACGCATCCAACACCCTCCTGACGTATCCAACACCCTCCTGACGCCTCCAACACCTTCTTGACGCCTCCAACACCTTCCTGACGCCTCCAACACCCTCCTGACGCCTCCAACACCCTCCTGACGCATCCAACACCTTCCTGACGCATCCAACACCCTCCTGACGCATCCAACACCCTCCTGACGCATCCAACACCCTCCTGACGCATCCAACACCCTCCTGACGCCTCCAACACCCTCCTGACGCCTCCAACACCCTCCTGACGCCTCCAACACCCTCCTGACGCCTCCAACACCCTCCTGACGCATCCAACACCCTCCTGACGCATCCAACACCCTCCTGACGCATCCAACACCCTCCTGACGCATCCAACACCCTCCTGACGCCTACAACACCTTCCTGACGCATTCAACACCCTCCTGACGCCTCCAACACCTTCCTGACGCATCCAACACCCTCCTGACGCATCCAACACTTTCCTGACGCATCCAACACCCTCCTGACGCATCCAACACCCTCCTGACGCCTCCAACACCTTCCTGACGCCTCCAACACCTTCCTGACGCCTCCAACACCCTCCTGACGCCTCCAACACCCTTCTGACGCATCCAACACCTTCCTGACGCATCCAACACCCTCCTGACGCATCCAACACCCTCCTGACGCATCCAACACCTTCCTGACGCATCCAACACCCTCCTGACGCCTCCAACACCCTCCTGACGCATCCAACACCCTCCTGACGCATACAACACCCTCCTGACGCATACAACATCCTCCTGACGCATCCAACACCTTCCTGACGCATCCAACAACCTCCTGACGCATCCAACACCTTCCTGACGCATCCAACACCTTCCTGATGCATCCAACACCTTCCTGACGCATCCAACACCTTCCTGATGCATCCAACATCCTCCCGACGCACCCAACATCCTCCTGACGCATCCAACACCCTCCTGACGCATCCAACACCCTTCTGACGCATCCAACACCTTCCTGACGCATCCAACACCCTCCTGACGTATCCAACACCTTCCTGACGCATCCAACACCCTTCTGACACATCTAACACCCTCCTGACGCATCCAGCACCTTCCCGACGCATCCAGCACCTTCCTGACGCATCCAACACCTTCCTGACCCAGCCAACATCCTCCTGATACATCCAACACCTTCCTGACGCATCCAACACCTTCCTGACGCATCCAACACCTTCCTGACCCAGCCAACATCCTCCTGATACATCCAACACCTTCCTGACGCATCCAACATCTTCCTGGTGCATCCAACACCTTCCTGGCGCATCCAACACCTTCCTGATGCATCCAACATCCTCCTGACGCATCCAACATCCTCCTGACGCATCCAACACCCTCCTGACGCATCCAACACCCACCTGATATATCCAACACCCTCCTGACACATCAAACACCTTCCTGACACATCCAACACCCTCCTGACACATCCAACACCCTCCCGACACATCCAACACCCTCCCGACGCATCCAACACCCTCCCGACGCATCCAACACCCTCTCGACGCATCCAACACCCTCCCGATGCATCCAACACCCTCCCGACTCATCCAACACCCTCCTGACACATCCAACACCTCCTGACACATCCTACACCCTCCTGACACATCCAACACCTTCCTGACACATCCAACACCCTCCTGACACATCCAACACCCTCCTGACACATCCAACACCCTCCCGACGCATCCAACACCCTACCGACGCATCCAACACCCTCCCGACGCATCCAACACCCTCCTGGTTCATCCAACAACCTCCTGACACATCCAACACCCTCCCGACGCATCCAACACCCTCCCAACGCATCCAACACCCTCCCGACGCATCCAACACCCTCCTGACACATCCAACACCTCCTGGTTCATCCAACATCCTCCTGACACCTCCGCACTATTCCTGGCATGTCCCTGCTGGTGCCCCGTACTCCAGACGTAGCTGTGGGGGCGCCGTACGAGGACGGTGGCCGGGGAGCAGTGTACATCTACCGAGGAGGCGCTGACGGACTCCAGACGAAGCTCTCGCAGAAGATCTTAGCCAGCGACCTGAGTCAGGCTCTGAAGGGCTTCGGGGTCGCCATCTCCAGGGGCGTCGATGTCGACCAGAATGGCTACGTTGGTAAGTGACTTGGAGTCCAGGTCGTCCTCTATGGACACGCTGGAATAGGAGAAAAGAGGTGTTAGAAGAGCGGAGAGAAGATGGGAGAGATAGAGATGTAGGGGGAAAGGGAGAGTGAATAAGGGGGGAGGAGGTAAAAAACGGGTGAGATGGAGGAGGAGAAGGATGTGAGAGACGACAGATAAAATGAGGGATCTCCATCCTTCATCTGTTGTGAGGGATGGAGGAGGTGAGAGAGGAAAGTAATGCAGGAAGAGGTTAGTGTTGAAAGACGAGGTGAGAGATGGAGGGGCAATATGACAGTTATGTAGGAGGTTGTGAGAGAGGGTGAGTGAGAGAAGAGAGAGGTGAGTGAGAGAAGAGAGAGGTGAGTGAGAGAAGAGAGAGGTGAGTGAGAGAAGAGAGAGGTGAGTGAGAGAAGAGAGAGGTGAGTGAGAGAAGAGAGAGGTGAGTGAGAGAAGAGGGAGGTGAGTGAGAGAAGAGAGAGGTGAGTGAGAGAAGAGAGAGGTGAGTGAAAGAGAGAGAGGCGGTTAATGTAGTGTACAGTTAATGTATCGTACATTAACAGAAGTACAGTAAATGTACAACACTATATATATATACTGTAAACTTTCCCAATTATAAATGTACTACCCTTTAAGTATGGGATTTGCACTGATTGATTTGAAGTAATGATTGTGACTCCTGAATGGTTGTGAAAGAGGGCCTGACAGCTGAGTGGACAGCGCTTCATATTCGTGGTCCTGAGGTTCCGGGTCCGATCCCCGGTGGAGGCGGAAACAAATGGGCCGAGTTTCTTTCACCTTGATGCACCTGTTCATCTAGCAGTAAATAGGTACCTGGGAGTTAGACAGCTGCTACGGACTGCTTCCTGGGGGTGAGTAACAACAAGGAGGCCTGGTCGAGGACCGGGCCGCAGGGACGCTAAGCCCCGAAATCATCTCAAGATGACCTCAAGATAACATGTCCGCCGGTGTTGGGTACCGACCCCAAGGTAATCACCATGCAAAGTTGGGTGAGGCTTCACTCGTGTGTGTGGCCTCCATCATAGGACTGATGAAACACAGATATTTGGCAGATATAGGTTTGTATTGTTTTTTACTAGGGAGATATAACCGGCGGCGCCCGGGTCTATGTCCGTTTGTCTCTGTCCTCTTTCCCACTCTCGGCTGTTCTCTACGCTGATTCAATGTCATGAAATATAGGAACACCCATGACATCTAGGGAACACCCATGACATCTAGGGAACACCCATGACATCTAGGGAACACCCATGACATCTAGGGAACACCCATGACATCTAGGGAACACCCATGACATCTAGGGAACACCCATGACATCTAGGGAACACCCATGACATCTAGGGAACACCCATGACATCTAGGGAACACCCATGGAATCTAGGGAACACCCATGACATCTAGGGAACACCCATGACATCTAGGGAACACCCATGACATCTAGGGAACACCCATGACATCTAGGGAACACCCATGACATCTAGGGAACACCCATGACATCTAGGGAACACCCATGGAATTTAGGGAACACCCATGGAATCTAGGGAACACCCATGGAATCTAGGGAACACCCATGACATCTAGAGAACACCCATGACATCTGGGGGAACACCCATGACATCTAGAGAACACCCATGACATCTAGGGAACACCCATGACATCTAGGGAACACCCATGACATCTAGGGAACACCCATGACATCTAGGGAACACCCATGACATCTAGGGAACACCCATGACATCTAGGGAACACCCATGACATCTAGGGAACACCCATGGAATTTAGGGAACACCCATGGAATCTAGGGAACACCCATGGAATCTAGGGAACACCCATGACATCTAGAGAACACCCATGACATCTGGGGGAACACCCATGACATCTAGAGAACACCCATGACATCTAGGGAACACCCATGACATCTAGGGAACACCCATGACATCTAGGGAACACCTATGACATCTAGGAAACACCCCATGGCATTTAAGGAACATCTATGACACCTAAGGAACACCTATAACATCTAGGGAACACCTATGACACTTACGGAACATCCATGACACCTAGGGAACACCTATGACATCTAGGGAACACCCATAACATCTAAGGAACACCTATGACATCTAGGGAACACCTATGACACTTAGGGAACATCCATGACACCTAGGGAACACCTATGACATCTAGGGAACACCCATAACATCTAAGGAACACCTATGACATCTAGGGAACACCCATAACACCTAGGGAACACCTATGACATCTAGGGAACACCCATAACACCTAGGGAACATCCATGACATCGAGGGAACACCCATGACATCTAGGGAACACCCATGACATCTAGAGAACACCTATGACATTTAGGGAACATCTATGACATCTAGGGAACTGCTGAACACCTGGGACACTCCTGATATATTTGAAGAACACTTTACAGAGCTGAGAACACCTAGAACATGTGGAATACCCAACGTATCTGTGGAACACCTTAATCTAGAAAACACTTCATTCATTTGGGAAACACTTAAGCTTTTCCGGGACTACTTAAGGCACCTGTGGAACACCAAAAGTATTTGAGAAACGTCCTATACTTTTGAGAAATACTTAAGGTTTTTTGGGAAGACCTGAAGCAGCTGGGAAACGTGTAAGAGCTTGTGACAATAGTTTTTAACTGTAAAGTGTTTTCTACCAATTAAACACTCATAAACCACTTCCGAACATATTTGAAATACAACAGTTAAATTTCTTACGTAGCAGAGAGAAAGATAACGTAGTAATGAGGGTAGTCGACTCACAACTGGTAGGTTACCTTGACGTTACCGTGAGGTGTTTTCGGGGTTTAGCGTCGCAGCGGCCCGGTCGTCGACCAGGCCTCCTGGTTGCTGAAAGGTCCCAGGCGTAGTTCCTTACAGATGAGGCCTCTATTCACCTAGCACTTAAAAGGTACGTAGGAGTTAGTCAGTTGTTGTAGGATGCATCCCGGGTAAGGTCAGGCCGCCTAGGCCCTTGGAGGACCACGAACAGCCTTTCTGTGTTTTGACAAGGGTAGATCTAAAAGAGCAATGGCAGATGTGTAGTGTAAGGTTTAAGTGTATGTAGTGTAGTGATGTAAGGTTGAACCCTCACACTGCTAACAACACTTATAAGCGTGCTCAACTTTGGTCTTCTGCAGATGTGGGCGTTGGGGCCTATTCAGGCAGCAAAGGAGCAGCCGCAGTACTGAGGACTCGAACCGTTGCCACAGTAGCATCACGTGTAGTTTCAACTGTGGCGGTGATCACAGAGCTCAGAGCGGAAGTTCGTTTAGCACTGTGCTTAACTTACGACGGGAAGCAAGTACAGAAGAGGGTCGGTAAGTGCCGCATTGTGTGTGTTGTCGGTAAAGGATCCAACATACGGACGGACTAGATAAGGTCAGTCAGGTATTAATATTAACCACTCTCTAGGTTCGGGAAGGTCTCCTTCAGTATTGCGAAGTCCTCTGGTCTGATGCACGTCCTCAAACTCCGAACTTTGTCATATCAGAGTACCTCAGATTGGGGATTCGCCGCTCTGCTACCGGAGGGCGCTGACGTTCGGCCCGGGCTGTCAGTGTTGACCTGTAGCTGCTGCGTGGTGGTCGTCTTGTTGACGGTGTGGTGCGGCCATTGGCCGGGGCCTGGTGGGTGTTATGGCGTCGGCTAGTGGTGGCCGTGTTCGCCGGGTCGACACCGCCCGGCTTGATTTCTCGGCCCCCGTTGACTGGCCCTTGGTGGAGGTTGCCCTTATGGACGTCATGAGTGTGGAGTACCTTGATCTCTACGGTGTTGAGAAACTTTCCCCTACCCGGGTGGCGGTGACGTTCTCCTCGGCGCAGGTGTATCAGCTGTTTGTGCACCGCTGGGGTACACAGACGCATGTACTTCCAGGTTCTGCTGTGACGGTGGAGGTCTCCGATCCGTGGGGGCCCCTGACGTATGTAAGCGTTCATGGTGCGCCAGTGCAGTTTCCTGAGGATGAGCTGTCCGCCGCGTTCCGTCGGTATGGTGAAGTGGTGGGGCAGCGTCATACCTGTCTGCTTAGTGGGCGCCTGAAGGGGCTCCGTATGGGTGTGCGTACTTTGCGCATGCGGCTCTCTGGGGCTATTCCCTCTCGGGTGGCTGTGTGTGGGTTTTATGTGCGTGTGTTTTACCAGGGGCAGACTCGCTCCTTTTTCCGGTGTGGTGAGGTGGGCCATTTCGCTGCAGCTTGCCGTGCCCCTCGCCCGGAGGACCCATCGGTTTTCCATGCGGATGATTTTCCACTTCTGCCGGAGGCTGGGGCGCCCCCAGTGGGCCCGGGCTCTGTGGGTGTGCCTCTGGAGGCGTCGTCCCCAGCTGTCCCTACCTCTCCGTCTGCTGCTGGGTCCTCTGCTCTGTCTGTTGACTCTGATGCTCTCGCGGCTCCTGCTTCGGGTGCGCCTATGCTGGTGGCGGCGGAGGTACATCACGACCCGAGTGTCTCCTTGGAATCCGACGTGTGTGGTGCGGTGCCGGCGGGCGGCCCATGTGCAGTGGCCGGTGTGCTTCCCGAGGCCAGGGGCGGTGTTGATACTGTCTCTCCTGACGGCCAGCCCTGCGGTGTTCCTAATGCTGGTGCCGTGGCGCAGCCGCCTGCTGTCGCTTGTGCTGTGCCTCCTGTGGTTGCATTGGGCTCTTCTGTTCCTCGACGAAGCGCGCTCCGAGGGATCGGTCGCACAGCAGGGGCCCCCCTGGGAAGAGGATCGAGGCTTCGGGTGGTGTGGCTTTGGCTGGTGCTCCTCCCTCCGCTTCTCCAGTGGTTCCTCCTCCCCCTTCGGATGCGGGATCTGGGGATGAGCGGGGCGTTGAGCGTGGTGTCGGGCTCGGGGCGGCGGAGGGAGTGGAGAAACTGTGGATGGTGTCCTCGACGCCAGGGGCGCCCTCTTCGCATGGTGTGTCTCCTGTGATTTTGAAGGCGGTTCCTGGCCGGCCGTCTTCCGGGGTGCGGCAGGGGGTTGAGCCTGGTGGTGTGGATGTGGCTCCCGCTGCGGGTGCGGTTGTGTCCCCTGGGGGACACGTTGGGTTGGGGGTGTCCTGAGGTTCTCCCGATGGCGCCCTCTATTGTATGTGCGTCTTTGAATGTTCGTGGTTTAAATGATCTTGGGGTACAGTTGGGCCTGTTGGATGTTCTGCAGGAGCAGCGTGTGGATGTGGCTCTGATCCAGGAGCATAATGTTCGTGAGGTGTCTGTGCTGCAGTGTTTAAGTGCGCATTTTCATGTTGTGCTCAACCCGCCGAGGACGTCCTTCGGGGGGACGCTTATGTTGTTTTCTAGGAGGGCTTCCTTCTCCGTGCTTCACACGGAGATGGATGAGGATGGGCAGGTTTTGTTTGTGAGGGTTGAGTTTTTGGGGGTCGTTCTTCCGTTCCTGACGGTGTACGCCACCTCGGGGGTGGCGCGCCGTCGGGAACGGGAGGAGTTTTTTCGGGTGGGGCTTCTCCCTTTCCTGCGTCATAATACGCGGAGTATGGTTTTTTGTGGTGATTTTAATTGTGTGACAAGTGCGCGGGACTGTAGTAGCGCCCGCCCGCAGAATGTCCCGGGTGCGCTGCTGGAGGTGGTGCGTTCTTGCGGTTTCAAGGATGCTGCTGTGCTCTATGGGGGCGAGTTGTCCGTTACTTTTGCTGTGCATGGGGCGCGTTCGCGGATTGATCGAGTTTATGTTACTGGCGGGGGGTGTTCTGTGTTTGATTTCCACACTGTCCCGGTTGCTTTCTCGGACCATAGTCTCGTGGTGGTCCGGGTTGGTGTGCCCAGTCAGGTGCGGTTCGGCGTGGGGTGGTGGAAGCTGAATTGTGGGTTGTTGCGTTCTCCGAGGGTTTGTGGGCAGTTTCGGGTTTGGTGGGTCGGGGTTCTCGCCCGGCGGTGTGATTTTCCTTCTGTTTTAGATTGGTGGGAGTGGTGTAAGGAGCAATGTCGGTTGTTTTTTCGGGTGGCTGCCAAACGTGAGGCTGCTGGAAGGTTTGGGTTGCTGCGGTTGTTCCAGGCGAGGCTTTCGCGGTAGTATGTGCGGTACAATGCTGGGATTGACTGTTTTGGGGAGATTGCGGAGTGTAAGGAGCGTATTTGTGGTTTGCGGAATGAGTGGGCCGAGGGTGTTCGTGTGCGTGCTCATGTGTGAACGTGTTGACGGGGAACGGCTCTCTCCTTATCTTTTAGGGAAGGTGAAGGCTGCGCGGGACGGTGTTCTTTTTACGGCTCTGCAACGGCCGGATGGGTCCGTTGTTTCGGACACCGGTGGTGTGTTGCATTATGTGCGGCAGGAGTTGGTTGCGCTCTATGGGGAGGTGGTAGGGGACGACGCGATTGCGGAAGGTTTCTTGGGTGGTTGTGCTCCGGGGTTGTCTGCTGCTGATTGTGTTGGTTTGGAGGAAGATGTTTCGTTGGGGGAGCTTTTCGATGTGGTGAGGTCGTTTCGTTCCGGGAAGGTGCCGGGCTCGGATGGTCTTCCTGTCGAGTTTTATGTTGCCTTTTGGGATGTGTTGGGTGATGTTCTTTTGGAGGTGGTCCGGACTTGCCTTCGGGGGTGCGTTCTGCCTGTGTCTCAGTGCGTTGGGATTGTGCGGCTGCTCCCGAACCAGGTGATTTGCGGTTCTTCTTGAACTGGAGACCCATTACTTTGTTGAATGTGGACTATAAGATCCTGTCCAAGATTTTAGCTGGTCGGTGTCGCCGTGTTGTTGCGTCTGTTGTTTCTGTGGAACAATTTTGTGGTATTCCAGGTCGCTCGTTACTACAGTGCAATACATTGTTTCGAGATGTGCTTCTGTACGTGTCGGGCTCTCGCTTGTTGGCAGCGATGCTTTGCCTGGATTGGTCTAAGGCTTTCGACCGTGTGTCGTTAGCTTTTGTTTTTCGTGTGTTAGAGCGGCTTGGTTTTCCGCCTTTGTTTGTTCGTTGGGTGCGTATGTTGTACGCTTAGTGTTGCAGTCGGGTTTGCATCAATGGGTTCTTGAGTGCTCCTTTCCCTGTACGCCGTTCGGTGAGGCAGGGTTGTCCGCTTTCCATGCTCCTTTATGTGCTCTTTCAGGAGCCTTTTTTTCGGGCGGTCAAGGCTTGTGCGTTGATCCGTCCCCCCCGGCTGCCTTCTGATCTTCGGTTACCCATCTGCGGTTATGCGGATGATACCATCCTGTTCGTGGCCTCTGCTGGTTCTGTTCGGGCTGTCCAGGTCGTGGTTGAGAGGTTTGAGTTGGCCACTGGGGCCCAGGTCAATCGTGCCAAATCTGGTCTTATGGGTATCGGTGGGTGGTCCTCTCGCCTTGTGTGGGAGGGGTCTTGGTTTCCGGTGGTCTCCTCTCTGCGTGTTCTGGGGATCACCTGGTTCGCTTCTTACGAGAGATCTTTGGAATTTAATTGGGGTGCGGTTTCTCGTAGTGTTGGTGTTGCGGTTGGGTTGTTGGCTGCACGCCCGTTAACAATTTATCAGCGGGCGTTGCTTGTTACTTGTAAAGTTCTGTCACGTGTCTGGTTCGTGGCTCGGTGTTTCCCCCTAGATCGCCGGCTGGCTCTGGGGTTGGAACGTCAGGTTTATAGGTACGTGTGGTGTGATCGTTACCACCCGGTTCGTCGCTTGACGTTGGTGTTAGCTGTGCGGGAAGGTGGGGTTGGTATTCCTGATGTGTTTACCCGGGCTCGGGCGCTGTTCTGGGTCTCGTTGCATCAGGGTTTAGCGTTGGGTGGGGGGCTCAATGCTTTGTGTATTTTTTATTGTTCAGTCCGGTTTAGTTTTTTGGTGGATTGCGGTGTTTGTCGGTAGGTGGCCTTTTGTACCCCTCCTGTTTACTCCTGGGCGGTAGACATTCTTCGGGCTGTCTGTCGTTGTCCGGGTTATATGTCTCTTTCAGTGAAGGCGATTTATGGGGTTCTATTTTGTCGTGTTCAGCCGCGGGTGGAGACTTTATTCCCGTGTTGGGATTGGGGGGAGGTGTGGGAGGCGTTAGGGGCGCGGTTTTTGGCACCGCAGCAGCGGGAGTTGTTGTTTCGCATGTTGCATTTGTCGTTGGCGACAAATGACTGATTGTGCATGCTGGGTTTGCGTGCCTCTGACGCGTGTGTCCACTGTGGTTTGCCCGAGACTCAGTTACATGTTTTCTATTTTTGTGATAGGTTGAGTGGTTTGCTTGATTGGTTTTGTGCTGTGTTGGCCGTGGTTTGTGGGCCGGGATGTCGGGGTGGTTTTTTGCCGTTTTTGTTTTTGTCATTTCTGCGGGGCTCTCGACGGGTGCATAATACGCTATGTCTTCTTGTCGCTGACTATGTGTATTGTGTGTGGGTTGGCCGGAGGGAGGGTTATGGGATTGATAGGGTTTT